ACTACACAACTCTGCTTGCAACTGACATGTGGCTACCTGGATGTGCTGCACACAAACTTGAGAAGCCACAGCCTAACAACAGCAACGCTGCCAGCACATTGAAGAACAGTGCTTTTTGTTAATTTACCATTGATAATTCTCACCAAGGACAACCATTACCTACCAAATGCAAACCCAAATACCAAAAACAACTGAACATTTCAGGATTTTTTTCAATTAAAATCAACCTCTCCAGGAATGTTCTGACACACCTGTGGAACACATGGGTCCCTGAACCCATGCCTCCTGGCTCAGAGGGAGGGACATTACCACTGCACCATAAAAGCCCTCCAAATTAACATTTCCTAATCAGCCCGCTCAGAGATGTTATTATGCACCTTATACCCAGGGCCTCCTGATCCAGAGGTAACAACACTACCACTGTCACAAGAGCTCCTTAAAAATTAACATTTCATTCCTATCACAGTTGTTTGAATGTGACATTAACAGCAAAAAAAAAAGGCTTTGCACTTGCATGCAAATTATTTTAAAATAGGTTCAAAAGTACATTTTAAGGCATGGTGACAAACAGGCTAACAGTTAAACTTCCTTCTCACAACATGCATTAATTTTCAACAGATCCAAGGATATAACTATTACACGATAACTCAAATTACATGGGCATGCCAAAGTCGATAGTACAATAACACATCACAGAAACATGCCATTAGGCCTCTCTGCTCCATACTAGTGTTTTGTTACATGCAACCCTCCTCCCAAACCCCTCTTCATTGACCCACTCACCCAATCTTTCTATTCCTTTCTCTCTCGTCTCTTTATCTAGCTAGCCTCCTTCTTCCATCTCTTCAATTCATTTCACCCACTCCCACTGAGAGCAAGTCTTTCTCTCTCTCTCTCTCCCTACCCCCACCACCTCGTTCCCTACACACTCATTCCCCAATCCACTCTCTGATCAAAGACGTTCTCCTGAATTCCCAATTACATTTATTAATGACTATCTTTTAGCTAGAATCTCCCATTTCAGAGTCTTATTTTAAACACACTTTACCCCCGAGTCAGAGATGGACAGCACAGAAACAGATCCTTCAGTCTAATTCATCCATGTTGACTTGATATCCTAGGTTAAGTCTAGTCCCGTTTGCCAGCATCTGGCCCATATCCCTCTAAATCCTTCATATTCATACACCCATCCACATGCTGTTTAAATGTTGCAATTGTACAAGCCTCCACCACGTCCTCTGGCAGCTCATTCCATACACGCACCACCCTCTGTGTGAAACAGTTGCCCTTTAGGTTGCTTTTAAATCTTTCCATGTCACTTTCAACCTATGTCCTCTATTTATGGATTCCCCTACCCCAGGGAAAAGATCTTGTCTGTTCACCCTATTCATGCCCCTCTCAATTTTATAAACCTTTATAAGGTTAAATGCATCTGAAACCTTTAAAAATAGTTTTAAAAAGATTAAATAAAACCTAAAATTTCCACTGCACTCTTCATAAAAGGAGCAGTGAGTTACTCACTCAGTCATTGCTTAGTCGTTCACACTCATGAGTCAGAAAGTTGTGCGTTTATGTCCCAAACAAATCTAGGTTGACACTCCAGTACGGTACTCTGGGTGTCCCACATTGTCAGAAGTGCTATTTTTGGATGAGACTTCAAGCAGACGCCCGATCTGCCTGCCCTCTCAGGTGGGCAGTAATGATCTCAAATCACACAATCAGAATTATTACATTGGAGGGGGCCATTTTGTCCAGTGTCATCCACACTCTCTGTACAGCAAGGTATTGCCAGGTCAGTCACCTGGCGCCAAGATAAATCCCTCAAGTCAAAATTATCCATTCATTACCACTTGGTTGCTTGTGGGATCTTGCTGTTCGCAAAACTACACTTGCCTTGTTACAAGGGTGACTACGTTGTTCTAAAGTAAAAAAAAAGGGTAAAGTCACCATAATCCCAGAGGATTATAGCGCTGCTCTTTCATAAGACAGAGACACAACCAGTGGTGAATCAACCGCAGGGTCACCATGCCTCAGGCAGGGGAAAAGGAGGTCGAGAAGGATGGTCATAGAGACGGGGGTACAGCACAGAAAAAGACCCTTCGATCCAATTCATCCATGCCGACCAGATACTCTAAATTAATCTAGTCCCAACTGCCAGGTCCTTCATGGCAACGGCAGCTGGAATTGGAATTGAACTCAGGCTGTTAGTATCGCAAACCAGACATCTAAGCTAACTGGCCCCTTCACAAAAGTACTCTGGTGGCTGACAAACACAGATGCCTTGAAAGGTACTATAGAGACACAAGCCTTCATTCCTTTCTGTCCCCCTTGAAGGCCGGCACAGTGGCTAGCACTGCTGCCTCACAGTGCCAGCGACCCTGGTTCAATTTCACCCTTACTGTTCGCGTGTGTGCACACACACACGCACGGGTTTCATCCCACATTCCAAAGGATGTGCAGGTTAGGGTGGACTGGCCATGCTAAATTGCCTACAGTGACCAGAGGAGGTGTTAGTTAGGTGGATTAGCCATGGGATGTGCAGGATTACAGGGTTGGGGTAGGTCTGGGCAGGATGCTCTTCCGAGGGCCAGTGTGGACTCGGGCCAAATGGCCTGCTTGCACATTGTAGGGATTCTACGAATCATTGCTTCTATGAAAGACAATGACTCATGCTAGCATTGTCATTTCAACTGGCATGGAATGAGTGGCTATTTGGACAAGGTGTTGCCAGACTTAACAATTTCAATTTTTTTTTAAAGCTACATTCCACACAACAGAACAACCTAAGTAGGCTAACAGAAAGGGTCATGTTACATCCAACAACGAGGAGAGAACTCAGATACAGTGATATGCAGCAAGGGTTTTTAGGTTAAAAAACATGTTTTCAGACGGGTGGAAACATTTTTAGCCAAAGCCATGACTCATATCTCTGCCCATCGAATGGTAAGCACAGGGGTTTTGCATTGGCAAACTTAAATTTACCATCAGTGGAGCATACTGTTGATGACAGCTACAAATGCAACAGTTTTATCACGGAAAACCGCACACATGAAGGCATTAAGATTAAAATCACACTGCTTTCTTTGAAAGAAAATCTAAAACGATCGCCATTGCATAAATTCTCGTAGCACTGGGACTCGAGAATCAGAATCACTGAATCCCTCTTCAGAGGATAGAGGTGTGAGGCTTGAAAAGCACAGCAGGTCAGACAGCATCCAAGTCAGTCAACTCACACCTATAGACTCCGGCTTCCAGCATCTGCAGTCCTTGCTGTCTCCTCCTTCAGAGGATGTTGGTTAGGCTACAGCTAGAGTAGTGTGTGTAAATTACAGGAGGGATGTGATAGCATTGGAGAGGGTGCAGCGGAGATTTACTACGATGTTGCCAGAAGTCACACGACACCATGTTATAGTCCAACAAGTTTATCTGAAATCACAGGCTTTCAGAGCACGGCTCCTTCATCAGGTGACTTTACTTGACAAAGGAGCAGTGCTCCGAAAGCTTGTGATTTCAAATAAACTGCAACCTGGTGTTGTGTGACTTCTGATTTTGTCCACCCCAGTCCTAAACCAGCATCTCCACATCATGGCTACCAAGATGTTGCCTCTGCTGGAGCGACATAGCTAGAACAGAGACCTGGAGCACTGGAGTTGCTTTCCTACGAGCAGAAAAAGCATAGGGGCAACTTGATTGAGGGGTACAAAATTGTAAGGGCTATAAATGGGGTAGACAAGCAGAAACATTGCCCCTTAGTAGAGGGGTAAACAACCAGGGGGCACAGATTTGAGGTAAAAGGGCAAGAGGTTGAGTAGGCATTCTTAAAGAAATTATTCACTTTCAGCCAGAAGGTTGTAGGGTATCTGGAAGGCACTGCGTGAAAGAGGGATATTTAAGCAGTGTTTAGATAAATCACTCAAAAGTGCCACTGCATACAAAGCTACAGGCCAAGTGTTAGAAAGTGGGACTACAGCAGATAAGTGCTTGATGCCTAGCGAGGACATGATGGGCCAAAGGACCTCTTTACATGCTTTAAAACCTTATGACTCCATGAGATTTACCTCTGCGGTAAAGATTTACTCTCCTTAAGAGAAAAAATTCCTCTTCATCGCCACCTTCAACGTAGGACCCCCTTATTCTGAGATGATGCCCCTCTGGTTCTAGACTCTTCCACACAAGGGGAAACAACCTCGCCATAGGTCACCTGTCAATTTCCCCCTATGAATCTTGTATTTTTCCATAAGGTCACCTCTCATTCTTCTAAACTCCATCAAGTACAGGCCCAACCTACTCAACCTCACCTCCATAAGACAGCTCTTCCACACCCAGGATCAGCTGAATGAACCTCCTCTGGACTGTCTCCTTATAATCTTTCCTTAAATAAAGGGGATCAAAACTGTTCACGGGGCATGCTACAGTTTCAGCAAATTGATAGTTTCCACACTCAGGAGCTGCCAGAAGAGAAAATAAAATGTTTTGAATTCAACGCTGGAGAGAAGAAGTCAAACTCCAAGAAGCAAGAAAAATGACAACTTAATTTTTTTTTAAGAAAGTGAGAAAGCACTTGCAAAACTCCTGCCAAAAGGTGCTTTCCAAATTGCACCTCCAACAAGATACTCATAAACAAACGGCACGCATTTCCAGATAGAGAAAAAAAACAATCAATCAATGCCCGAAAACAAACTTGCATTTTAAAAGAAAAGCAAAAAAAAAAACATGTAGAACGAGTCAAATGCATTGAGAGGTAATTGCTGATATCTTTGCTTCAGGATAACTTAGCATTTCCCAATTCTCACTTTGCAAGGAATCTGAAGTAAAGCATTCAAATTGAAATACTTTTATTGCAAAGACTAAAATGCACTAAGACCAACTTTATGCAACGATTTTTTTTCGATTAAAAATAATTCCACCTTGCGCTACCTCAAGCGATTTCGGTGCTCACCTGAGAGAAAGGGAAAAAGTCGGTTTTCATGGTAAAACAGCATTCTAAACGAGCAACTCACCTCAAGAAATTCGACTCTTAATTAGATTTTGAAGGAATTTGATGTTTTTACTGATTTTTTTTTTTCTTCCCGTTTCTACCTTTACCTTTCTCTGCGAGATACAGCTCGAGCCCTCAACCGAACCTGCGCCGGCGCGAGCGGGGCAGCAGGAAGTCCCGCCCCCGGCACGCACCAATTGGTCAGGTGCAGGGTACCGCCCACGGCCATAGGTCCGCCCCCTGTCAATCATCCGTATCCAGGTGTGGGCGGTGGGCGAAGGGTACGGGTGCTGGGGGAGGGGCAAAAGTTGGGGGAAAGTTGGATGAAAAGAGGGATATGGGTGAACGGGGGGGATGGGGAAAGGGGAGAGGGAACAGGATTAGGGGATGGGGGTTGGAGGAAAGGGGTTTGGGGAAAGAGGGAGAGGAAATGGAGAGGGGAAAATGTGGGGAGGGGGCAATGGGAACAGCGGGGAGGGGGGAATGGGAGGATTCAGAAATGGGGTGGAGGGGGAAGTGGAATGGGGGGAATGAGGGAATGGGGGAAGTGGGGGAATGAGGGAATGGGGGAAGTGGGGGAGGAGGGAATGGGGGAAGTGGGGGAGGGGGGAAATAAGGGAAAGGG